AAGAACCAGAAGTCATGATTGCATGAACCTCTTTTGATGTTGTTTTACATTCCCTGGACAAAACTTTATGTGTATCAGACGTCAACTGCAGAAGGGCCTCTGGTGTAAAATGTTTCGAATTTCTCAATGCAGTTGACTTCATCACAAGCAGTTTTAGCCGCTGAACAAAACCTCCCCAATGTGATGGCCTAAGATAAATAAAAGGTTCATGAGTTAATTAAAATTACCTTTCTTTAAATTTTAATAGGGATCTGCTCCAGAATTCAGTAAGACAATAAGGTTAACCATTAGAAATTGAAATCAAAAGGTATTCAAGGAACTGCTCGTGCTCTCTCACCTAAAAGACATGTAACGTTAAGATGAAAAAAAAAAAAAAAAAAAAAAAAAAAAGTTGACATGAGCTCTTACATGTTTTGACATGCCAAGTAAAGAATTTTTGAAGTGACCTTGTTTCGTAGAAACTCTCCAATTAACTCTATGGCCATGGTAGTATTTGCTTTGCAAAGTCCTTCGTGGTGCTCAGTTCTCTTCTCGTTCAAGCTATCAAGACCATCTATTTCCATGTCTTGTGGCTTGCTTGACCATCTAAAATTCTTTTCTGGAGCAAGTTCCAATAGGCTCTCATCGTCTAATGATGCATCTAGTAATTGCAACACAACTGAAAAGACATATGCAACTAGAGTGCCAGATTCACACACTTTAAGGCCAAATATCTGGGAAAGATGAAGGACTTCATCTATGGATTTCATGATCCTGTAACTCACCAAAAGGTTGTGTTAGTACATACCATATCAATAATAGAAAGGAAAGGTACCCGACAAAAAGTAAACATAATTGGATAAAGACAGTCAATTAACTTAAATTGCAAAAAAATGTTATTTGTTCTGATTATGGTTACTAATGATCTATTACATAATTTTTCCAATGATTTTCCTCTGAACCTGAATCACCAGAACTCTCGTCTCAAGTTCACCAAGTTTGAAACTAGGAACTACTGTTCAACCCTAAAAACTTGGATATAAGAACTTATGATATTCCATGTAGGTGACTGCTAGGGGTTTTGATCCAATGACCTCTTGGACAAAGGTCTTAACTGCTCATCTCAATACTTGGAGTTGATTTTATATGCAATGTTTTTAATATAATTAAGTTACAACTTAAAATGAAAGAAGAAAACCACTGAAAAGTGCATTTTTGAACAATTTACCCTAATTTCACAATAGTATCAAATGTTTGTATTCAAGTATTCAAAGCCTAAATATTGTGACATTGTAAATAATTGAAAATCTCAGTCACAGTTTCACCATTATCTTTTTCTCTACTGAGCTAATTTCTTGTCTACATTACATTACATTGTTCATAGGCAAGTCATATAGAACTCAAAGAAACAAAGAAGGCAGCTATGAATGAATACATTCATCAAAAGTAAAACAAGATTAATTTGATCCTTACTTAGAGTAATTTGGTCCATTGACAAGTGATAAAAATGAAAAGGCCTGCTGCTTGAGGAGTTCCATATAAAGCCTATATGCCGCAGGGTGAAGCTGCCGGTTTGGAATGACCCTGTAGTAACCAAACAAGCTAAGAAAGTCAAAATTAACCTAAGAAATAGAATGTACTGTAATGTACTATGATAAAATATAGTTTATAGAGTATAAACGGGTTCCAAATGTTTGCCATATCAAAACATAGAAACATACAAACTCCCTAAAACTTCCTTTAAAAACCAAATCATAAATTAACCCACTCAAAGCAACATTAAGGTTCAAGTATAACAGATCAAAATATTGCATTTTGAAGCTAGTAAGTTTTTTTCTTCTTTTTCCTTGTTATCTGTATTCACAGGTAACCACAAATAATTATATTTTGCTAAAAACCTATCAAAAAGTGGCAAATGAGTAAATAATCTAAATGAATAAATAAATTCCAAAATTTTAAAAAAATAATAATAATAATCAATACAAAAATAATAAATATAAATGTGGTAAGTAAACCTGGAGGAGAGAAGAGCGAGTACGAGAAAGGGAGGGACGACCCTGACAGTCAATGCTTTCTCGAGAAACTTCCAGGCAATAGGCACGTGATTGTCCCAGCAGATGTGAGAGACGAGTAGATAAGCGAGATTAGTTGAAGGGAGAGAGACTCCAGCTGAGTTAAGAGTTGCAGTGAGTTGAACCGCCCAAACCAGAGGGTCGCTATTCTTCTCCTGCGCCGCCTTCGTCATCTCCAACACCGTGTCCCATAAGGTATGTTCATTGGGCTGTACGGACACCGCCATCACTACGCTACACGCTCTTTCTCTTTGTCTTGTCTTTCTTCTGTTTCAGAAAGACCTACCTCTAGTAGGAATTCATGTGAATTGCGAAATGAAGAAGAAGAATAAATAGGGAGAGAGAAGAGTCGCGAACAAGAGAAGAGTAGCGAACAAGAGACAATTGTTGATTAGACTCCAGAGGCTAATGTCAGCTTCGGCGGCGGGTGTTTAATGGTTCTATTTCTTCCCCAGTCCAGGGGTTATTAATTTTTTCAAAATTTGAAGAGACACACTTCCATAATCCTGTACGTAAATTACATTTACGTGGCGTTTGGTTGGTTATTATCGAGTTAATCCGTCTTATATTAGTTGATTATTATGTTTGATTGTCAAGTAATATAATATATTGATAATCTTCAAATATCAATAATGATTATTATTGATAATATTGGAGCTAATTACCTCTATTTTCTAAGGTATTCTGAGATTATCCAGTTATCTTTTTTTATTATAATTTTATCCCTTATTAATAAAATTTTAGGACAATAATATCCTTACTTTTAAATTTATTTACACGAATATAGCTTTTACTATTTCACCCTAATTAATTAACTTTTCAAACAAAATTACCCTTAAATTTAAAACAAATTACAGTTCACCTAAGCCACCCACCTGTCACCACAACCACCACCACGACTAGCCGTAGTCGTCGCCGAAACAACTCACAAAAGGCCGAAAATGATCATTGTGCGTCGATATGGCCATTTCCAGCCAGATCCCTGGTCGAAAATGGCCATACAACGCACGAAGGCCATTTCCTACCTTTCGTGCGCCGTTAGGTTACCGACTGCCGACAACTGGTAGTGGTTAGGTTGGTGGGGGTACTTTGTTGATTTTTCAAACTTTTATTATAGAATTGGTTTTACTAAGTTTTTAAATACATGAGGTTATAATAATCTAAATAATAATATTTAATTAAAAGACAGGTTAGTAATTTAAATAACATATCTATCAATTTATTCTTCACAACCAAATATATTAATATAACGTTCCCACCAATTAACCAAACATATTTTCCTAAAAATTCCTAATAATCCTCGAGGTAATCTAATTTTTTAATAATTCAACATCCCCAATAATCCAACATTCCCTGAATCAAACGCCCTTTATTTTAATTTAACTACAAATTTTAATAATTTGAATCAAGTTATTATCTTCGAGAAGTTTACACTTTACATTTGTATCAAATTACCCTTTTTTTTTTGGGGGGGGGGGGGGGNACGTTGGGTTAGAATGTGGGTTTGTGACAGAGGGCATTGGGGGTTCACGGTGCTGGTACTGGAAACTAGAAAGGGAGATGGTGGTAATGCAAACTGGGAAGTGAAGCACCGAACCTGGTAATGGATTATCAGAAACTGAAATGGTGGTGATGGATATTGAGAAAGTGAAGCACTGAAAACGGTTATGTCAATTGAGAACTGAAGCACGAAGCTGGTAGTGAGGATGCAGTGATACTGAGAAAGTGAAATGGTGAAACAGTGAGGATGCAGTGAAAAAAAATGAAAAAACAAACTGTAACGGTCAGAAAACATGTCAAAATAGTTGTCAGGATTCCATTATCAGGGTAGGATTATGTAAATAATAAAACAAACAACATTTCAAAAATCCGGTCTAAAATACAGATAAAAATAGTTAGCCAAACATGCAGTAGATTATTATACTTATTATTATGTTTGGTTATTATGTTTAGTTGTCAAATAATATAAGATATTAATAATCTTCAAATATCAATAGTGGTTATTATTAATAATATTGGAGGCAATCTGGTTATTTCTATTTTTCAAGGTATTCTAAGATTATTCGGTTATCTTTTCTTATTATAATTTTATCCCTTATTAATAAAATTTTAAGACAATAATACCCTTATTTTTTAATTTATTTACACGAATATAGCTTTTATTATTTCATCCCAATTAATTAATTTTTTAGACAAAATTACCCTTGAATTCAAAACAAATTACAGTCCACCCAAGCCACTCACCCCACCCACCTGTTGCTGCAACCACCATCGCAACTAGCCGCAGTCGTCGTCGGAACAGCTCACGAAAGGCCGAAAATAATCGTTGTGCGCCAATATGGCCATTTCCAGCCAGATCCCTAGCCGGAAATGGCCATACAACGCACAAAGGCCATTTCTTGCCTTCTGTTCGCCGTTAGGTTACCGACTGCTGACAACCGATAGTAATTAGGTTGGTGGGAGTGCTTTGTTAATTTTTCAAACTTTTATTAGAGGGTTATTTTTGCTAATTTTTTAAATGCAAGGGATTATAATAATCTAAATAATAATAAATATTAAAAAATAATATTTAATTAGAAGACAGTTTAGTAATTTAAATAACATACCCATCAATTTATTCTTCACAACCAAACATATTAATATAACATTTCCACTAATTAACCAAACATGTTTTCCTAAAAATTCCTAATAATCCTCAAGGTAATCTAATTTTTTAATAATTCAACATTTCATATTCAAACACCCTTTATATTAATTTAACTACAAATTTTAATAATTTGAATCAAGCTATTATCTTCGAGAAGTTTACACTTTACATTTGTATCAAATTATCAATTTTAATTTTTATCTTTTGGGAAATGGGGTGTCCGGGCTAACCTACGGACACCCACAAGCCCAAATGACAGATAAACCAAGATGTTAAAATACCTTTAATTTGAATTAGCCCCAAGTAAAGTCATCCTCGTCGATTGACAGTCGCATCCGTGAGAGAGCCCTTGTATAATCCACATAAAAAGCATACTTAATTACAAAGATTAACAAGTAAACCCTAGTGGTGAGTATTTCAAAAAAAAAAAAAACTTCAACACATCACTACCATGCTCCGCCAAGATTAGTATTTACACGAGAGATAAATAAGACACGATAATAGATAAGTATTCAATCAAGGCTGCATAATTTTTCTTGAATCCAGACACCAACACCTATAGTTGGATCTTGACATGGCATAGAGTTCACTTGGGCTCATCTTCATAAGTTCCTTTGACATATATGACTCCAAACCCCCGGTAATATTTTGAGTTCCGATTTCTTCCACATGATCAAGTTGGCAACTAAATCTCTTGTACAATCTCATCACTGCCACACAATCCTCATATGGGTCATGCACCCCGGACTGAATATCGTACCTGTGAACAAAAGCCTGATCAATAATTTTATGTGCTTGGTAATTCCACAAACCCCAAAATAAATTACAAATTCTATCAAGTATTATTATCATTATTATTATTATTATTATTGCCAATAGTATTGCCCTTCATTCACAATCACACTAAATGAGCATCTTATTATAGAGATAGAGCAAAACAGAGATTGTTTTAATTTGTTCTTACAACCTCCCTGTCTAACAGAAAAAAAAATGTCCATAGGCGCTAAACAGTGGAACTGTAGTGCGGATTAGGAGACACTAGTTTTAATACTTCATGAGGAAAGATCTCTTTATGCACATACAATAGAGGTACAAATTAGATAATAACCACCATATGAACAAGAAAGTTCAAGGGAAAAAATTGCTGGTGAAATAAAAAAGAACATTAGAAAGAATCAGTTTGCAGAATAGAACCAAGACAGAAGTAACTTGCCCCAGATATGTTCTGGTGAGGTATTTGAGCGAGTGGCTAACCAGATTTGTCTTCATCAATGGACAGTATTTTGCAGTATCCCTGAATGAAGAGGATGTTATTATCGTACAAGAGAAGGGTTATATTTTACAGCTACAACAAAACTTCATATAAAGCACGTATTAATAATTAAAACGTCCCATAGATCATAAATAAAAAAGCGTTATCAAAATATCCAAATCCAAAGCTGCAGAAGCCAAGCACCTGAAATTTTAGTAGACCTTCTATGCATATTTCATTATATCTTTTAATTGAAAAAAGAGCATTTATAGGATACATTTATTATCCAGAACAGGACCCATAAAATGTTCACTATACCTCAGCATGTGCTCAGGGTAGTTCATTCTTAAGCAATCTAAATCATGCTCTAGGTCATGACCCACAAGAAGTCTAGCCTTTCCACCATCCAACCTTAGCTTCTCAACAGACTCTCCATTGTACAAAATTTGCAAAATTTTATCCCGCACTTCATTTAGTGCCATGGCATCTTTTAGATGCTCCTCAGTTAACCCAGTTACGTCATATCTGAAAAAGTTAATGAAGCTATGTGAATGATCAGCACATTCACTCATAACAATTATTTTAGAAAAACAACAGACAATACATAACAGGAATGTACCTATAATTTGTGATAGGGAATTGAGGTCGAACATGAGTATGGAAAATTATATTCTCATCTTCGTCAATGAGACAGACCCTAGCACAAAGGTTGAGTGATCCATTGTCTCCACCACTAACCATTTCGCAGTCCATGGCTACTGCACCATGGCCTCTGCCAGTGTGATTTTTAACAACTACGCCTGAAATTTTCTCCTGAGATTCTGCACAACGCATTGCTATTCCCTAGAATAATCAACACGATTTAGCACATGAATGTCTAAAGAATTACAGGACTTTCTCAATTGATTGCTCAAAAAGTTTAACACACTGTGAGAAGAGAAGATTCTCAGTTCTCATAATGAGACACTTAAAAATTTCACCAACCAACTTACAGAGGGAGCAGGTGCAGAAAGGCAGCATCCTTCTTTATGCTTGGTAAGGGAATTGGGGTTATCAAATATTTTGAAACAAAGACTGCAGCCTAGATCAGAGAAAATCTTTGAACAACATGCTTTCCGCAATGGACCTATATGAATAAAGAAAAACCAAACTAAGAAACTTATCAATAGATTGATCAGAATAAGCATGCAAATAAAATATACCAGTAAGATGTTCATGAAGAGATTCGTAAGTTTTGCAGTGCTTTTGACAAACACCACATTTTGGCTGATGAACTGAGTGATATGAGACCTTCAGGTGCTCAATAAGATGTTCCTTTCTCTTAAATTGTTTAAAGCATGCAGGACATTTGTGCCTGTAAATAAAACAGGAATACAAAAAACTCAGTTCAACCCAAGAAATTCCAATTTATTATCATTCTAGTGGACAGAAACAACATGTTGATTCATATCTTGATTATGAAAGCTGTTACAGATCAGTGAAACAAGATTTTCTTTTATTTTCTTTGGCTTAAAAGATGTTAAAACCAGATTAATTAAACCGACACTGATGTGCCAATGGTTTAACTAACTAAATATATTCTCCATTATGATTCTTAAATTTTCTCAGGCACTGAATCGTTCATTGAGAAATGCTTAACCAATGATCTTTATAGAAGTTCAAATAAAATTAAGTTAATTCAATCATAATGATGTGTCAATGGTTGTTTACCTAACTAAATATGTTCTCCATCATGATTCTAACATTTTATCGGCGACGAAACTATTCAAGAAAAAATACTTGACAAAATGATAATACAATGCATTAATAGAACCCAAAAAGAAACAAGAAAGGAGAACCTTCTGGCTAGGGTTTCGGGATGATCTGATCCCGTGTCCATCTCAACCACCTGCAAAAATGGTTCTCTTGACTAAAAACGGGAGATTCGCCGGGCACATAACTAGGGTTTAGTTTTCGTTCTTTCAATAATTCATATTCCAGAATAGGAAAAAAATAAACCCTATAGTTGTCCCAAATTCTTTTATTCCCCTTAATTTTTTAAAAATAACAAACACCCATATTAATTTTAATTCTGTAAAATAAACATCAAAAGCTCCAAAAATTTAATCAATACCCTGAATTTTGAACAAAATATTAAGAATTAAGAATTAAGAAGAAAACTAAACCTAGAATGAAACACTCATTTTGATGGTGTCAGACCGAACAAATTACAAAATACCAATTCACCTAGATGCATTGAAGAGAAGGGGCTAATGAAGACCAATTTACGTAGATGCATTGAAAGGAAGGGACTAATGACTAATCAACGTTGTTGAAGAAGTCTCTTTGTCTTGGTGACATTCTCTGATTCTAATATTTGGATATGCATTTAGCTCTCCAATTCTAATATTCCAATATCAGCGCCATCAAGTTTCATGTTTGTATTTATAAGTAAAGCAAAGCGGTGGGAAATATTAACGTTCAAGATTTAAGGGCGATTTTAAATTAGCGTCAAGTGCACGCTTTCCAACGGCTATAAAAAATAAATTAACTTTATTGCAAAAATACCCCTCCAAACTAAAAAAATAAGAGAAAAGGTACACGGTGATTAACCACATAAGGACTCGTATAAGGAGCACCATTATAATAGTCGAGATAATCATTGTGATTGAAGTAGGTTGATGATCTTCTAACTTGTCATGGTTGTCATTTTTCTTGTCCTTTGAGGAACTTACATTTCTAGCCTGGCCAATCTGCATGTTGTTCAAGAATTAATCTAGTTTTTCTTCGGCATGAATGGGATCTTTTTCATGAACCAAAAGCTTTGCAATTACGCCAAATTTCTCTGTTGTGTTTACGAGAATGGATGGATCTACTGAGCCAGTAACTATTAGCAAACCTTGTTCTGTGTACCACAAACTCCTAGATGCAAGAAAAATAACCAAATAAATAGAAAATGTTAATAAAATAAAAAAACAGCAATATGTATAGTAAGTACATACCTTTGATTTTCAGCGACTCTTTATTCAGTATCTTGAGACATGTTTTACAACAATGGTGATTACTTCGGGAACACAAATCTGTATAGACAAACATGGTCCAAATATACATGCATGTATGAAACAAGAGAAGAAAACAGCAGAGGGAGTTGCGTGGTGAAGGGGAGGTGGTGCTAAATAAACCCGGCCTTGTTAAGAAATGGAAATGGATACATATGAAGACAGTTAAAAGCATAGGTAACTAACTAATAAATATTTTTTATTTATACATGGAAAGTTGATATATTATAAGTTACAGGTAAAAGATGCCGATGGCAAGATGAGAGAATGAGAATCTCGTCAGAGTTTTAGGGAACTTATTAGGAGAGATCTCAGGAACTAGCTCTTAAACAATACAAAACAGCATTTTGTTTTTTTTTTGGCTTATTACAATCAAAATATTACCTGGCACATAGTACATACATTTGAAATGTGACACACCAATAGGATTAAGATCATACAAACCTTTCGTAGAAAACGCCGTGTTTCAACTTTCATCCTCCAAATTTCTCTATCATTATCACACAAGAGTAAATGATGCTTCTAATAGCTAATGCCCAACTTTTTAAGTCAAAAGCTTGGGCATTTGCACACCCCTCAGACTACATCAATCTTAATACGATTTGTGAACTCAATGTTGCATCACTCACACGCGCACACACACGTATATATATTCAACATGCAATGAGATTAAAGAAAATATAGATCTCTCCAAAGGGCAGACTTCTGAAATAATTCATAAACAGATAGATGTTAACACAATCCAAGAACATTTTTCCCAATTAATAGGAGGGGCTCTGGATTTTGTCCACATTGGCCTATTGCAGGGCCAATATACAGCCTTTGGAGTCTTACTTCAAAATAAAAATCTATTACATTAAAAAGTAATTTAAATTAATATCCATAAAAGTACATTAAAGATTTAGACAATGAACTTCAGCCACCCCGAGCTTCTCTTCTTGTGGCATCATGAAGCAGCTCAACGTCAACTCCATCTGGAGGCAATTGAACATATCTCACCACTGATCCCCTGATGAAACAATTCCTCACTGAAAGCTGTAATTTAGCAAAAGGTCATCAAATGCACCCAGCAAATTATTAAGAAACAGAAAGATGGATAAATAAGGGGAATAACATCTGCATTAGACTAAAGAAGTACATTGAGGATCTACAAAGAAACAAGATGGGTAATAAAACACATGCTTGACTGAGGGAACACAACTTAGTGGTATACCATCAACAATATCTACAACTAGTATATTCAACATTCTGGAAATTAATGAAAAATTTGAAGGGAAATGAACAAGCATATATAGAGAAAAATAGTAATTAAAATCCACATTTTGACATGATATTTTAACTCAACTTTTTATTTGTGCATCATTAATGCATCAGAAAACTACAAAATAAGTGCATCAAAATCTCTCCCATATATGATCAGCCTACAAAAACATGAGAAACCAAGGGTAAATACACCCAAACATTCCACTATTTTATAGCACCAAAATTTAAATGACCAGCCACTAAATTTTCTTGTAAAATCTTTAATAAGATTAAAGAGAAATTCCAAATGGATAACTGAATATCATTGAACCATAAATTCAAATTCTAGATCAATTTAAGAATTAATAAATTCAAATTGAGAAAACCACAACCTATTTTTTAAGTTGTTTTGTCTTCCAAATTTAATTTAATATTCTTTGACTCTACAATTTGTGGAACTTCAACCTAGGAATGTATCTTAACATCCCAAAAGCTTCGAAACCTTAATATACCACAAACTCAGGAATTTTACATCATAACCCTGACTAAAGCATTTTAAATTATATCCATAAGCACCAATATCATCCCATCAAAACATTTGCTATGAAAAACATGAACAGATCAAACTCATCAATATTCAGCAGATAATCAGATCAGGTGTCATAAGAAAAATAAAGTAATCACTGGAGGAAAAGAATGACAAATCCCAGAATAAACACAATAGCAGTACATGCTGCAGAGGTACCCATTTTCTTATAATACTTCATGATAAAAATCAGTGCAAAAGCCAATTCACCTCCAGAATAAATTCCTTCAAAGAAGGTAAACGCAAAGTAATAACATTATTGACCAAGGAGAGCAACAAAACAGAAAACGCCAGGCTCATAAGTTATCACAGTACATTGATGCACTACAAGATCATCCCGTAACTACTATAAAAGGTACAAGCTGCCAGATTCTATAAGACAAAGGCTTACAAATTTGGTAGTTGATAAGCACAACAATTGAGATTCAAGGCTCTAGAATCTTCTAAAGCCCTAACAAATCACAGCCCTAATTTCCCTATTAGTTTCACACTATCAAACCCAATCATTGAAAGCAAAACCATAGTCAATAGAAAATTACATTCAATATATGGTAAACCTAAAATTTAAAGAGAGAAAAAAAAAGTTCAGATGCCCTAATGAACCCTAAATTTCCAACCGCAGTCGCACAATTCAAAAATGGATGTTCATTATTGAAACATTAATAGAAAAAAAAAAAAAAAAAAAACCCTAGAAAGTTATGAGAGGAAATATGTGTACCATGTGAGGGTATTTGTCTTGATCAACAACCCTGGTGTTCTCGAGCTTGATATTGAGGTACTGATCAACTGAGTGCAGGGTCCCTCTGATCGCCAAATCGTTCTTCAACTCCACAGTCACTTCCCTGCCCACCAAGTCCTTGAAATACGAAAAAAACAACTGCACCAAAACAAACAAACCGATGAAACAAGACCCATGATATTAAAAGAGATAATAAAAAAAAATCTACGAAAAACTCCTTAAAGCTGTGGAAAAACACAGACAAGATTAGAGAGGAAATATTAAGAATCTGAAAGAATATTACCATTTTTGTTTGCCGGAGAGGTAGGGTGTGCTTTGATTTGGTTTTTGTCCTGGTAAGTGAAAGCAAGGGAAGGGAACGGCTTTTGTTTCGTGCTTTGCACTCTGTTTGGGTAGCAGTACATGTATTTCCCCAACTAGAAGCGCATTGCCTTAAATGAGTGAAGGGAAGGTTTTTTCATTGTTTCAGTTAATTTTCTTAATTATAAATTAATAAGGATTTATTCTTCCGTTAATTCAGTATTATTATTTAATATAAATAAGTTTATTTAATATATCATCCAAAATTAATATTTGAATTTGCACAAATAAGGTGACATTATTATTTTATAATGATAAATTAGTAGATAATAATATAATATGATATGACTATTATATTAATGTAACAGTAATACTTCTAATATGCTATTAAAATTAATTATTTTGACAAAAAGGCAAAATGTTTTTTTACTCGTTGTTTTGCCAAAAAACTTCAAGTAAAGCGTTTGGGCTCCGCTGTGTGTTCGGTACAGTTTCTTCAAAAATCTCACAGAAACAGAGTTTATTATTAGGGTCCATTTGGTTGGAGGGTATTTGAGGGTGTTTCATGTTACTTCAGTAGACAGTAATATCATCTTATATTAATTATGTTGTTATGTTTGATTGTTAGGGAATATAAGATTTCGATAATCCTTTAAAACCAATAATAATTATTGTTAGTTATATAGGTGATAATATGAATGTAACCATTTTTTTAAGTATTTTAAGATTACTTGAAATTTTAAATTTGTTACAATTTTATCTCTAACTAATTAAATTTTTAAACAATAATGTCTCTATTTTTAAAACAATTTACCCTCATCACCTTCTAACGACAGCAGCCCACCACCGCCACTGAAAAACAACCAAATTTATCTAACAAAAAACAGTCAAATTCGATCAATTGTGCATCATGCAAGCCACGACCAATAGTGGTAGCCGACGACCGATTGTGGTTTGGGTGAGTGAAGGTGATTTTGTTAAAATTTAAACTTTTATTGTCACTGAGATTCTCTATTTTAAAAGCCGGACCCGACTGGTCGGTCTGATCGGGACCAGGCAACTTCTCCAGTCCGATTCAAGTCTTACTTCTTAGGGGGGTTTTTGTAATATTTCAAAATTATAAGGGTTAATAAATTTTATAGGGGTGTTTTGGAGATATATCAAAAGTTTATAAATTAATTGGTAATTTTTTGGAGGCATTTTTAAAATAAATAAAAAATTTACAGACTAATTTGAACTTTTTTAGGGGAATTTTTGTAATATATTAAAATTTAAGAGATAAATAATAATTTACAAAAAAATTGTCGCTAACCTCATCGGTCCAACCGGTTGACCCGTGACTCGGGCAACAAAACAGATTGCCCTCCGATCCGGGTTTTAAAACAATGCTGAGATTACATCGAAACCACATGAGTTCATCAAGATGTGGTTTTTACAAAATCTCAAATGTTTAAAAAATAATCTAAATAATAATAATAATAATATTAAAAAAGAAGGACATTCTAATATAACCAAACACATTTAATATAAGATTCTCATAAATCTTTAAGGTAATCTATCTTCTCATTAATATAACATTCCTAATAATACATCCCCTCAACCAAATGAACCTTCGTATCATCTCTTCGTAAATAAACACAACCAAAGTAGACTCGATTATCAATGCCACCTCTTCATGAAAAAAATAATGAATGTTATATTTAACTTGTGAAATTATGTTATACAAGATAAAAGAATAGGCATTTGGTTCGAAATTGCGAGCTGCGGTTTGAACTGAAATTCAAAGAATGCACACTGGTAATTCAAGAAATGCAAGATTAGGAGAAACTACAAAAGCAAAATCCATAAAACAAGCAAATCATAGGACACCAAATGAACTAAATTTACAACAATTACAAATACAGAATTACCGAAGCAGACCTTAGAAAAATTGTTTCTAATCCTACATATGAGAAGGCTTTCATTCTCTCTTTTTTTTTGGTGGGGGCTACAAGAGATGTATGAAAAGCTGCTTTCCCTATAGCCTTTGCTTAACCCGCCTCCCATTGACGTCACTCCCATCAAGGATAGCTTCATTAAATTGCCTGCATACTACTACAGAGTGCTCACTTACTCTGGCGACGTACTCCAACAGTTCTGTCAAAACAGAGGGGCAACTTTCCTTCAAGTACTCGAAACCATCAGTTTGCATCACAGCTGCAAAACACACACACACACACACACACACACAAAAAAAAAAAAGGTTAAACAAGCTTCAGCTTACTAATAATATTGGAAAGCAGAGATAAATTTTCGGTAAAATTAATACTGAAGATTGTGGCACTAATTAATGCAGGAGTAGAAAGACAACTTTCTAGGAACAATGCCTAACAATTGTGCAACTCGGGACACCTCACACCTTTAAGCCTAAAGACTATATTGTGAACATGCAACGCAAGGTCAAACTTATTACAATATATCATTGTAAGTGAGATACGCAGAAGTAGGACGACTGGCAATAAACATGCAACATTTAGTGAATTAAAAAAGCTTGGTATACGCTTGTGAAAGCTAGAAAATATATACGATAAATGTACACTGTACAAAGATATGCACAACATGGGTCTAAAATTCTGAGAATACGATAAATGTTTTTATTATACAAGATGACCACTAATCACATCAGTGGTCAACTCCAATCCTTTACATGGTTTGTGAACGGAAGACCTAAAATCTGAAGAGTTTCAATATTTTCTTCAATACGGGGTATAGTTCTGGGATTAGTGAAACAATTTTTCTCATCCAAGATCAAATTGCAATAGACATAATAAGAGGATTTCGTTATAAGTACCTCTCAAATTTTCAGGCATGGCAACAAATTTGAGACAAACAGCCTTCAGCTGGAAACAATGGTGATGCTCTGCCAAAGCTAATGTGGTTGCCACAGTGTTAATGGCAACGTCCTCACAAAGATTGGTCTCACAAAGCAATCTGAGCCTGTCTAAACCATACCTATCTGCCGCTGCAAGCAGATGCTGAGACATCAAAGTTGAAGCCCACTTTGAGTTCATACCAGTAATCTCTTCCATGTCAGGTACAGTGTCCCAGTATATGAAATGCAGCAAAGCCTGGAAGGGACAAATCAGGTTTGAGAAGCGATAAGTTATGAATGATCATTTAAAATGGTTCACCTGATTTGTAAAAATAAATAAAAAAGCCAGACGCCACATTTGTCCAGTGAAGCGATGAACGTTTACAATAAATAGACAGCATATTTCCAAAACTGTAGATTTAATCAACTTATATTTGCATATCACAAATACTAAATCTAGAATCTCATGACAAAGTTCAATTGGTATATAAAATGTTAAAGATTACAAAACACTGGGGTAAATTAAAGAGATCGGATAGAACTTTCAAAACAAGAGGGATTGATATAGCTCTTTCATGACCCCCACAATTCATAACCAGCAAAAGAGTAGTCAAACTTCCACAAGGTCCATTCCATGAATCCATTAAAACAATGCTATTCAGATTTGCTTTAGAAATCCCAAAATTACTTAGCTGCTAATAAAATCTCATGATTTATGCCCAGTGAAAACCAAAATAAAAGTTATAAAAACAAACACACAAAATATTTGCAGCATGCAACCACAACCAGCACACTATTTGCATTTCACAATTTGGATTTAAAAAACAGTAGATTTATGTACCTAAAATGTCTTCGAAACCTCTATGCAGGCATATTTATGGAAAAAAAAAAAAAAAAAAAACTGACTGATGCAAAAATATTGTGCAGCTAAGAAAAGAAAAAGAGAGATGTATTGAACCTTAAAAACCGGGGCCTCCATGTCCTCAACTTTTATACGCTGAGTATTCTGATCCTTCATCGGACCAAAGAGTTGTGCCCTGAATACAGGTGAACGAGCGGCAAGCACCAATTTGTGAGCAGCGAATACTTCACCATCAACTTCAAAATTTACATCAGTTTTCTTTCCACTTTCCAGTAGTTTCCCAAAATGCTGACCAATGTTAGAAGGTGGTACAGCTATGGAATAGATCTTGGGCCCCTCTGTGTGTGACTTCACAACACCAACACTGCAGTGAACTGAAAGACAATCATCTTTGAGGTAGTCTGATTGTTCCAGAAGAACTCTTTTGAAAAAACGCTTGTAGCCCCTGCAGCATTCAATAATCAGACAAGCTGTGTAGCGCTTGATACTTAATTACATATATTATGAGTGAAATTTACTCACTATAATATAACAAGCCATAAGTTCATAAACAACCAAGAACTTAAGACCAAAAAATCATAACCCAGATATGATAAAACCAAATGACAACCAATTTAACCTGGAGTAAAAGAACGATTATACATAGAGGAGATGAAAATAAAATAAAATATACATATAAGCCTAATAACAAAAGGCAGACATCATTAACAATACCGGAATACTGTGATCAACAAACCCTGTCTCATTAAATTGCTCAATGAGAACAAATTACATAACATTTGGGTAATCCTGCAATGCCGACCCTGTAACATATCGATACCAACTGAACACCCATGGGCTCAAATTTTTTAAAAGAAAAGAACGGGATTGAAGCAAGCAATGGTATCTTGCTTCTGGTTTATTTACAAACTCAACCCTAATGGAGCTATAAGGAAAATTCAAAAACAAACTCTGAATACATTGCAAGTGCACCACTATTCATCAAATAATTCTTTAAGACTTAAACGCGCAAAATTTATGTTATCCAAACAATCTTTTAACCATGTTCTAAGAATAATCATGATTTATTTTGTCCCCAATTTTATGCCTACATAAGATAATAATATCAGTTAACAGATCAAAATTTAAGCTCACAGCTAGAAGAAAATCCACGTAGCCGAAATCATTTCAATATGATAATAAATAAAACATTTAGAAATAACTACAGTCCACACAAAATCAAAGATTAACAGCAACACCGACACCCATGTCAGCAGCAGAAGGCCATATACGAAATTATCTTGATAATCATCATCAGCAAATGAATATGAGACAAAAAATTATAACAAGGTCACAAAA